TAAAAAATAATGTATATATGGTGGTAGTGTGAACACATTGACACTAGGCTTTTTTTTGTGGGGGGGTTAGTGAGGATTAAACTCAGGGGCACTCAACCACTGAGCCATATCCCCAGCCTTATTTTGTATTTTATTCAGAGATAGGGTCTCACTGAGTTCCTTAGCACCTCACTTTTGCTGAGGCTGGCTTTGAACTCTTGATCCTCCTGCCTCAGCCTCCCAAGTCACTAGTATTACAGGCATGTGCCATGGTGCCCAGCTAGACAATCTTTTTAATGGATTGAACTCCCTTGATTATTTCTTTGGGGGTTAACGATTCAAGTTTATTCTGTAAAAATTAGGCACAAACCACCTGAGGCCAAGTGTGACAGATGACTGTACAGTGAGTGATGGCATTTGCATTAATGTGCGTTGTTCCTTGCAATTTTCACAGATTATTAAACAGTGAATTACCAGTTAAGAGCAACACATTCAACATGCCATTTATTATGGACGTTTTCCCTGTTCCCAGACTTCCCCAGCCACCCTGAGCAACTTAAATCCCTAAGACTGATCAAAATCACTGATCTCAACACTGTTAAAATAGTCAACTTGGAAAGGATAGCTTCATGTATGGAATTTCCCCTAGTTGATTTCATTTGGTTCTCCCCACTCACCTTATTTGCACAGGTGACCTTTTGGCACATTTTAGGACATCCGGGGTAATATTTCATCTTTTAAGATCAAATAACACCATAAGGGAACAAAGCGAAAAATTTCTTAGGAAACTTAAAATGCAGAAAACATAAAAAGGGGATTTCTTGCTGAAACAAACAGGTTAGCAGAGCACAGGTATTGGCCCTGTGTACCTCTCTCAGAAAGGACTGGACACTGTGGTCCCGAGGGTACATCTTTAACAGTTGTCATGAGAAATATTTCTCGAGGCAAGAAAACAGTGCCCTCATGAGCACTGAGAAATATGTAGTGTCACCAAAGTGCACCCTTCAGGAGGAGCCCGGTATACAATAAGTGAGGACTTTATTATTATAGGAATTAGGGGTTGGTTTGTTTGCAGTATAGGGTATGGAACCCAGGGTTGCTCCATCACTGAGCTACACCCCCAGCACTTTTAATTATTTTAAAAGAAATTTCGTGGACAGCCTCTCACTGAGCCTCCAAAGCAGACCTTTGTGATTGTTTGATAGGTGGGATTACAGGCACGTCGACTGTGCCTGGCATAAATTTGATTAAATGTACACTTTCTTCAGTTCAGATGCTAACTTACCCCTTCCATAGTAACTTTATTAGGCCATTTGTGTATGTAAGTGATGAATTTTGTAAGATTTGATGGGCCATTTTTAGTCCTGAAGTGCATAAAATAAACCCTTGTTGCCTATCTTAGAAAGTCTGCATTTAATACAATTATTTTAAAAGTGAATCCTTCTAAATAGCTCATCTGTTTAGCCTGTGTTGGCTCAACTTTGGGACTCTTTCATATCCTAGAAATGTGTGGTAATGTCACTGGGGAGTATAACTACATTTTAAGGAATAAAATCACATCAATACTAAGAAGGATGATTTTGCCATGTGATAGGATATGAATGTTGGTGCAGATTTGATCTATTTGCGAGATATCGTTGAGTGATTATGAGCTTGCGGTAAATAAAGCCCACCCCACAAACCAGTTGCAAGCTGCTATGTGCAAAGAAATGTGCTGGCTGCACAGTATCCTGGGGGCCAGTGTGCAGTTTCCTGTTTGCCCTTTCTTTTGTATCTAGAGTCCATTCCCTGCAGGTCTTCCCTGTGTTTGCAAAGTGAAGAAGTAAACCATCTCAAGTCCAGAGCTTGTCCCCTGAAACAAAAACCAAAATGCAACACTGATACAATTTGGCTGGTTGATAACAAACTGGATCAATAAGACATCTTCTTTCATTGGAGGGGGACAGTATTTCACTCTTGCTTGTAATTAGTGATTCTCTAAAATGTGGAGTTGAATTCAAACTAATGAAAACCTGTGAAAGAATGAATTTTGTAGGACTAACTGCAGAATCTATGATTCTTTTCTTCAAAGGCAATGACATTACAATGAACAGAAAACCCACTGTGTGCCTTTCCCCAGGCAGAGACTTGTTTGGCACAGTGCTGGCAGTGGCTGTGTGGCTGGTGTTCTTGGGGACACAGCTGCCAGTTTGCTAAGTGGTTTCATCTCCTCTAAGGAGGACTTGGTGGGGGTGGCTGCTCAGGCTCCTGCCGAGGACACACGAGGTCTCCGAGCCAGATTTCTGGTGAGCACCAGGGAGGGCTCTGGGAAGTCTCCACAGGTCTCTGACTTCCTGTGAGGTCTCCATAACTCTCTGGGAAGGTTTATGTGTGAGGTCTCTGAGGCAGCAGGGGTCCCTATGTAGGATTCTGGGCAGCAGTGGAGGTCTCTGTGGGAAGGCCTTGAGATTCTCCAGTGGGTGTTTGTGTGCGGGCCTGGGGGAGGTCTCTGTGCAGGGATCCCATGGGGCACTGTGGTCTCTGTGCGAGGTCTCTTGGGGGCAGGGAGCTCTGTGTGTTGTCACTGTGGGGTCTCTGACCAAGTTCTTGTGCTTGGTCTCTGCAGCAGTGCCAGGTCTCCGTGGGAAAGTCGATGAGTGTGTATTTTGGGAGGACCCAGTGGGAGGCCCTCTGCCACCTCTGTGGGAAATGTTTGAGGTTTTTCTGCATGTGAGGGTTCTATGCAAGGACTGAAGAACAACTAGAGGGGTCTATGAGAGGTCTGTGTAGGGAGGGGAGGTTTCTATGGGAAGTCTCTGTGTGTCCCTGCTGAGGGCCCTGTGGGGTCTCTATGCAGGGTCTCTGTGGAGGTGTAAGTGTGAGGTCTCTGGGGATGTCTCTCTGTGAGGACAGCAGGAGGCCTGGAATCTGGGGAGTCTCTGCGGTTCTGTGTGGGGTGAGAGGCCCATCCTGTAGTCCCCGGGGGTCTCTGGAGGGCTCTTTGGGAGATCTGCACAGGAGGTCTCTGGGGGCCACAGCTTGATTGGGGGCCCACAGCACTGGTGGAGTGAGAGGTCTCTGTGCACTGTCCCTGGTGAGATTGCTCAGGAGGTCCTGAGGAGGTCTCTGCTCTTCTCCCTGTAGGCCTCACCGCCTGGGGACGACTGAGCAGCAGGACAGGGGCCCTTGCTCCTTCCTGTCTGCTGGCTGGTCCTTGGCTCAGCCAGTCCGTGGCACCTCCCCTGGCAGCAAGCAGCAATGGGGGTTGTCCGGGTTCTCCACATTCCAGAACGTGCTTCTTGCTGTCCTGAGGGAGCCCAGCAGCAGCCAGCATGGCCCTCAGGGCAGGGTCCCAGCTCTGTGCCACCCTGTCCTCAGCTCCCAAGGGATCAGGGGCTGCTCTGCTCCAGGGCAAGGCCCCCTAATCAGTCTTGGCTCCACTCCCCTGCTGGGCTCCCTCTGGAGGCTGACTTGGTCACCTGGGCCCAGAGAAACCTGTGGCACCAGCAGCCAATCCCAGGGATCTGTGCCTTCTCCCCCTCCACCCAGGTGTCAGTCCAGTCCCACGTGTGGGGAAGGCAGGGCTCTTTGGCAGTGGCCCCTTGTGCAGGATCCTCCACCACCCCTTGAGCCCCCGGAGCTGCGCCCAGCACGGCACACACAGAAGGTGTTACCTAGGGAAGTGGCTGCTCCTCTCCCTTCTCCTTGGGGCCTCTGCTTCTCCATGTGGACAGGTGCTAGAAGCAGAGTGAGGGCAGGGAAGAGGCCACAGCCCTGGGCATTGGGACAGGTCAATTCCAGCCCCTTGTATGCACAAATCTTGTCTGATTGCTCGTTCCCTGCTGATCTCTGGGGCATTAGGGGCTGGGAGCCAGGCAATGCTTGCTTCATGACTCCAGGCCAACCTGTCATCCCTTCTAAGTGCCCACTTTCTCCTGGGAGCAGACCTGGGGACACCTATGCATGCAAAAGTCACCAGACTGCTGGTCACTTCTCAGTTCTCTGGCTCTGGTTTTTCACCTGTCCTTTCTAGGGTTCAACAAGTGAGTGAATATTTGCAAGCTTGTCAAACATGTCGTTAAGAAATGAATCCTCCCTGGTTTGCTTGGCTTCCCCTGTGTCATAGCTGAAGGTTGTGGGAGGCCATCCTCGCATGTGATCTGAGTTACCTCCCTGGCTGGGTGAGAGGCGCTTAGACACAGCTGTGTCAGAGCTATTCCTCACCCTTTTCCAGGTCCGAGGGCTCGTCCGTGCAGAGGCGTGCCTGGCCACTGCCCCGAAGACCCAATCATCGCCCTTGACCTTGGGATGCTGCCCCCCCCCCCAACCTTCATTGGATGGGATTTTCCCTTGAATTTTTTGTTCTCCAATAAAAGTCCACTCCCTGGCGTGTTCTCACTAGTCTCTTCTGTAAACCTCACCACCACATTAGATGGCTGGAGGCGGGAGCTAGGGGAAGCCATCCTAGAGCTGGTATTAAAGGTAATAAGAGTCTTGTCTATTTAATTTAAAACTCTCTAGCATTTACTCATGAATTGAACCTTCTTTCATGAAGCCAGCGCTGGTCGCGTGGCAGAGAAGGTGGCTCCTCCAGGTCTGGGGGCAGGGTTCTAAAGCAGGTGGGCCCCTGGGGTGGGGCCAGGGTGGGCCTCTTGGCTCCCAATGTTACTTCTTTTCTAGGATTGCGAGAAGGAGGAGGTCTCTGTGGGTAGGGGAAATCTGTTGGAGGACTCTGGGGGTGGGCCCTAAGAGGCCTCTGTACCCCTGGTCCCTGCAGCTGCCTGAAGTTTAAGGTAGAGAAGAAGCAGGGCCAGACCCCGAGGTGGGATCTTCATCAGTCCTCCTGGTCTGGGTTTGACGGTGTTATGGAAACGTAAGTTCCCTGGAGGATTTGGGGACAGGGTGGGCTTGCAACACCACTGTCAACTTCCTGCTGAGGCCCATTCCTTCTAGAAGCCAAATCCTCCAAGCCCCGAACAGACGGAATCTTTACTCTTTATGAGAAAAAAATCATGTATATTAGGTAACATAAATATCTTGGATGTACTAACATGAAAAAATAATATTTCTCTGCATGGACTAAATTTCTTTCTCAGGGCCGTGTTTTCCTACCAGAAGAGACTGGAGAACAATTTGCTGGTTGAGCAGACAAGACACCTCCCTGACGAGGACGGTGCCTAGGGCAGGGGTGAGGGTGGCCTGAGGGCCCTGGCATTGCTGGCCCATGCTGGGAGGGACTGACTGGGGACCCAGCCTTTTTGGAAAGCCAGGGGTGGGGATGCCTTGGGGCCCACTGCTGGCTATTGAATTGGACATGCTTCAGTGACTGTTGGCTTCTGTCTGGCCTTTGCCTGATGGGGTAGCTATGGCTCTTGGGGGAAACTGCAAAAGCAGACATCCCCCTTTGCTGTGGGCAGATGGGAGGCCTGTGGTAGCAGGGAAACTGAGAGGCTGGGCTGTGCTCCTCTCTGAGCTGCTTTAACTTGGAGGCACAGCATTTATGGTGGAGAGCCATTTTCTTCTCAAGCATCTCTCCTACGGTTGTCATGAGCTCCTGGGCTTCTGTGATGTTGCTGTTGTCACTTGCTGTGGCTTTGATAGATTGTGGACTCTGGGCAGAGGCTAAGGGAGGCCTGCATCTTTTCAGGGATTCTTCCTGCTCTTGGATTTTCTTTTTCTCGGGGAAAAGCCACTGAAGAAAGCGCCTCCAGGTTCTTGGGAAGAAGCCATCCGAAGAAGGATCCTGTTTCGTTTCTTCTGTTCCCCTGACCTGGGTGAGCTTGGAGGTCCCCAGTTCTTCCATTTCTTTCTGATTCCCTGAGCTGGGCCACCTCCTGTCCTCGCCCTTGTAAGCAGGAGCATACAGCTTGCTGTGGGGCTTCTGCTGGTGTCTGAGAATCCTGGGCTTCGGTGGCACCAGGCTGCTCCTTCTGGCTGCCAAGACATTAACTAGTGTTGGTGCTGGCAACTTCCTAAAAGGCTTGCTCTGGAGAGGAGGCCAACATTCTGGAGAAGCCAAACTGTCTGACGCTGGGACCGTGTTGGTGGAACAGTCTGGAAGGCATACCTCAGGGGCGCAGACTGGGGGCTGGCTCACTAAACTCATCTCCGCTGTCTGCTGAAACTCGCCAGCATCCTCTGCCTGAAGGCAGGGCTCCCCTAAATACTGGGCAGGGGACATTCTGGGCAGTACAGGGGCTTTGACGCTGCTTTTCCCCGTCCCCTGGACAGTCCTGCTCTGCAGGGTTCTGTCCAGGAGGTTGTGTGTGAGGGTCTTAGGAGGCGGCCTGCTCTCCTGTAGAGCTGGAGGGGCCTCTGGAAGCCTGTGGTCATGAGTGGGTGGGACCCCTGTCAGGGCCCGCTCGCTTTCCTTACCCGCAAGTGAGGAGATGAGGAGAAGACTCGTCAGTGTGGGGACAGACTCGTCAGTTAGCGCTTGCCCTCTCGGACACACCGGACCCAGTGTGGGGACAGACTCCTTAGTTAGCGCCTTTCCTCTCGGACACATCTGACCCAGTGCAGGAAGACACTCTTCAGTTAGTGCCTGCCCTCTCGGATATGCCTGGCCCAGTGCGGGATATGTCTGATCTAGTGTGGGGACAGACTCATCAGTTAGCACCTTCCCTCTCGGATATGCCCGGCCCAGTGTGGGGACAGACTCGTCAGTTAGCACCTTCTCTCTCTGATATGCCTGGCCCAGTGCGGGGACAGACTTGTTAGTTAGTGCCTTCCCTCTTGGATATGCTTGGCCCAGTGTGGTAACAGGCTCCTTAATTTGCACCTTCCCTCTCGGATATGCCTGGCCCAGTGCGGGAACAGACTCGTCAGTTAGCACCTTCTCTCTCGGATATGCCTGGCCCAGTGTGGGAACAGGCTCCTTAATTTGCACCTTCCCTCTCAGATATGCCTGGCCCAGTGTGGGAACAGACTCATCAGTTAGCGCCTGCCCTCTCGGACATGCCTGAGGTGGTTTCCCCAAGATCTTGGCAACCTCAGGTTTTGAGCTGGCCCCAGATACCTGGGAGGAGGAGGAGGGGCCGTCAAATTCTGGAAGGGTCATGCATGGTGGAGCCGATGTCATCTTCAAGAGATTTAGGGGCTTGAGGACCTTGAGGGGTAGGCCCCACCTGTGCTTCACCCACAGCTTTATAATATGGTCTTCCAGGGTCTGCTGAGTGGTCGCATCGAGAAAGGGCAGCTTCGCGCACGTGCTCGTGCAGGTGTCCCAGCTCTCGGAGAGTGCCAGGGATCCGCTTTCCAGGTGGGTGGCAGACGTGGACGAAGTGCTCTTGATAGAGAGCCAGGACTGGTACACATTCCAGGGGACCAGGCCCTCTTGGATCTGCCCCGACTTCAGGCACAAGTGGACTTTCAGCGTGCTTCCTAGTTGGTTCTGGTCCACGGGTCTTGAGAAGTCATTATCTGAGCGTCTCTTCAACAGCTTCGACAGGTTACTTACTGAATCCAGAGTGTGTGCCTGCTGAACCTTCCCTGGGAGGACCTCCAAGTCCTTGGATGGATCTTTCGGGACCTTCCCTAGAATATGCCCCAGATGCTTGCCTGTGTCCTTCTCTAGCTGGAACCTCACCTTCTGTGTATCCCTGCTGCTGTCACCTATAGACAGGGAGGCCTGGGGGGGGCAGGGCTTGTCCTTGGCCCGACATGTCCCTGGTACTTCTTGAGATGTCCCTGCTAGTTCTTCCCGAAGTTGCATTAGTTCTAGAGACTTTTGCATCTGGTCCCACCTGGATTGCATGAGCCACCTTTGAATGTGTTGCTCCAGTTGCTCCCGAAGCTCAGAACTGACTGGGAGATTCTCGGGAAGGATGGAGTCCGGGCAGTTGTCTTGGGAGAGGTGGGGCGGGAGGATGTTGTAGACTTCCTGAGGTCTTTGGACCTCTGAGGGCAAAGCCCACCCACATCCCAGTTGTTTCCCAATCCAGGGCATTTGTGTGTGTTGAAATTCAGTTGGGAAGAGAGACTGTGGCTTATTCTGGGATGTAGGGCCAGATGCTGCACAGTCCATAATGTGAGGTGGAGAAGAGGGTAGCAGGGCTTGGAAAGAGGATGGGAGGTGGACCTGGGTCTGGAACTGACCCAGAGTTTGAGGCTGGAATTGGGACATGGATAGAATCAAGGGTGGGGACTGGGGCTGGGAAAGCAGGGGGGACATTTTATCCTGCACTTGAACTGAGCACACACTGGAGGTTCTGTTGAACAAGAAGCAGGTGGGCTGCAGAGCAGAAGCGCCCTGGGAGATCCAGGCAGCAGCCACCAGGGATTCGCTGTGCAGAGAGGGGAGACCCCAGAAGAGCTGGTTGTACTTCTGCAAATGGTCCCCCAGGACCTTGGAATAGGAGAGCTGCTGAGGCCCCAGCAGCTGTTTCACTTTGTCCTTTATTTCCCAGAAGGGTTGTGGGACTGTGAGGTCCTGCTCGGCACCCAGGGAATTCAGCATATTCCTCAAAGAACTGAGATTGTATCCTGGGCTCATTTGTTCTAGAAATGTTCCATCTTTTTCTTTTTCCTTCCAAATCTTGACCTCAACTTTCCTTGTGACCTTTATCCCCAGGATGTTCTGGTCATCAGAGCTGTGCAGAGAGGGGTTACCAGCCTCCATCTGCCTGCTGGTGGAGACTCCCAAGGAGACGGCCCTTGGTGGCTGGTGGGAGAGAGGCCCCTTCTGGGACTCGCTGTCTGATGAGGTGGTGAGGCACAAGGCTCTGGCAGCCAGCTGCCACCAAGGAAGGGCTGGGATGGCAGAACTTGTGTGGCTAAGGCTGGAGATGTCTGGGATGGGAGAAGCCAGCATGTGCTTGGGTGGGGACGAGCTCCGTGTGATGGCATCCAGTGGAAGGGCCATTGAGTCACTCTGAGAAAGAGTCAGAGCAGGGCCTGGCAGTGGTGGGGTAGAGCAGGGTGCTGGAGGTACTGTGCAGGCCCCAGGTGGACATGGTGGGGGAAGGGGAAATGCCAGTGGCTGGGGTGACAGGGATCGTAGGGGAAGCAAGGGCCCTGGTGACTGAGAGGCAGTGAGGGAAGGGGGTAAGCAGGCCAGAACTGAGGAGGCTGCTGGACCTGAGGATGGAGAGGAGGCCAGAGGCAGGAGGTGCTTGGTCAGAGGAGCCAGCGCAGTGCTGTCCACGTGCTCCCAGTGTGGCCGGGGAGGCCCGCCAGCTGTTCTTTTGTACTCCTTGTCAGGGGGGTCTTGGTCTAAGGGCTGGTAGGAGCTGTCGTTGGCAGGGACCGTCCCCAGGACGCTGCAGAAATAGAGGACATGGCTGCAGCCAGAGGAGGGGCCAGCAGGAGGGTGGGTATCAGCAGGCCTGGTCCTTCCGTACCCATCCCCTGACTTCACAGTTCTGCCACTCCTGGCCCCAGGGTTTCAGTGCCCCCATCTCCATGTTCTCCCCCCCCACCCCTGGGTCAGCTCTGAGGCCCTGGCGTCCCATGATAGGCCTTGGGAAGAAGGATATTGGAGAGAAAGGGAAAGTTTTGTACCTTTGCAGAAGAGAAATCAGGTTCCAGGTCTCCTTCAGGTAATCCAGGCAGTCTCCACACGCTGGAAATGAGGAGACAGGGTATAGTGTGAAGGCCATGGGGATTTTAAAGGATGCTGAACAGAATGTTCCTTCAGAAGGGATCACAGGAGATTAGACTCTAGAGCAGCAAGCATCAGTGTCCAAGGTCATATGACCCTTGGCTGCAAGGTACTCGCCTGGGCAAGTCTTTGTCATTTACAAAGCGCATGTACATACATCATGTGGGAGAAAGGATGGGGTCATCTCAAAAAAAGAATCAACTGTAGGCAAGTAACAGCCTGTCTTCACTTGGACTTGAAGGTCCCACTTCCAATCCAGCCCTACTGCTCTGCTGCCATCCACCTGCCTGCTGCTGGGCCGCACCCACCCCTGCTGCAGCACAGCTTCCTTTGGAGCATGGAACCTGAGCCCTTTCCGATTCTGGGTTCCTTCCCAGCAGCCTCCTTCTCAGGGCTCTGCAACTGGTCTCTTCGAAGCAGTGGAACTGTCCCCGCTCCATCAGGATTGAGAGGAGGCGCTCACCTGCTAGAGCCGCATTCTTCTTCTTGCTCCTGCTCCTGCCCCTCCTCTGCAGGCCACCCTGAGAGACAAGGTAAAAACAAAACCCCAGAAAACAGGGCTGAGGCCCAATCTTCCCTCTCCTCCCTCTAGACAAGCTGCAGACAGTGACCATGAATTTTATGGTACTCTACAGTGAATCAGTGGAATCTGGTTTTTTCTTTCCTTTTACCCATTTTTAAAGTAGATATGATATTGTTATTCTCCTTTCAAAAACAGAGAGAGATTTTCTGGGTCAACCCCATCAGTCCTGGGTTCTGTGCTCAGGAAGCAGCTCATCTACCTGCCAGGCAGGGCTCTGTTCCCTGACGCCAGAGGTGACTCCTGGTGATGGGAGGCCCTGGCTGGATGGACCACAGCTCAGAGGTCTCCAGCACCTCGGCCTCTGAGTCCCAGTGTTCGAGCTCACCTGGCCCCCAGCTCTCCACCCATGGGCCTGGAGCCTCAGGTGGTGCTGTGGTGCCCACTCTCGGCCTGCCGGCCCCGCCTGCCCCAGATGAGGCTGTGTCTCCCGAGGTTTCCCAGTGGACACCGGCGCCATTAGATTGGGAAACGTGGAAATCGGAACCCAGGAGAAGGGGCAACGGGGCTCACCTTTCTGCTGCTCTTCCTATCGGCTGGTGGTGCCTCGGGCTCACCCTGCAGGCAGGGCAGCAGGAGGAGGAAGAGCCCCAGGCCACACACAAAGGCCAAGAGCATGTCCACCACCCAGGTGGAATGGCCGGGGCTCAGCCATGTGGTGCTAACCCTTTTCAGAAGCAAGAGCGCGTTCTCCATCGTGTCCTTCATCAGCCTCCATTAGTTGACCTCAGGCCAGAGAACTCCCTTTGGTGGCCGGAGCAACGCCCATGCCCACGTCATAGAGCCCAGCCTGCTCATCACAAAGGGCTGGGGTGGGGGAGGTGGCAGGAGAGGCTAGGCTGGCCCCGCCCCACCCGGTCCTGCCCCAGCCCCGCCCCAGCCCCGCCTTCCCATCCCCTCTTTCCTGCCCTAGTTCTTTCCCACACTGGAGATCTTGGCTGGTGGCTTGTCCATTTGACAGACATTAAAAGTCTGAGACTGACCCTGTCCTGTTGGCTCTCTCCCAGGGACTTTGACTCTCAGGGTCCAGTTGGTTCTTGACTCCAGCTTTCCTATCCAGTGGTTTTGGTCCTATATTGGAGCAGGAACAGAACTTAAATTTATTTTACACTCATTTAATTTTGTGAACTTTGAATGTGAACTTTTATTTTTTAAAAAATATTTTTTCTCAAGTTTTAGGTGGACACAATATCTTTATTTTTTTTTTTTACATTTTATGTGGTGCTGAGGATCGAACCCAGCGCCTCATGCATGCTAGGCGAGCACTCTCCCTCTGAGCCACAACCCTAGCCCTGAATGCGAACTTTTAAAATGTTTGTATGATTTCCCATCAGAGACCTAATGACATAAAATTAAAACAACGATTCCAAATTCATTAAATATGGAAGAATTATAAGTAGCTACAACTTTGAATGACATTTTTGTAAGTGTGTAGCTTTTATATTTCTGGATTTTTATATTCTGGAGAATGAAATCATGGCATTTGCAGGTAAATGGATGGAGCTGGAGAATATAATGTTAAGTGAAGTAAGTCAATCCCCCCAAATCAAATGCCGAATGTTTTCTCTGGTATAAGGAGGCTGATTCATAATGGAGTTGAGGGGGGCCTGGGTGGATTAGATAAACTCTAGATAGGGCAAAGGGGTGAGAGGGAAAGGAGGGGGCAAAGGGGTAGAGAATACTGTGGAATGAAATGGACATCATTACCCTAAATACATGTACGAAGACAGGAATGGTGTGGATATACTTTTTAAACAATCAGATATGAAAAAGTGTGCTCTATATGTGTAATGTGAATTATGCATTCTGCTGTCATACATAATTTGTTTGATCCAATTGCAGTGGTATCAACCTAAGACAGGAGGCTGACGCCTAGAGGTCAGTTCATCCCATGACGGGTAAGAACCATATGTTGAATTGGACAAACCTAACAGGCACGGTCCCTAGCCACATTGCTTGTTGCTTAATTAAACAGAAGGGGGGAGATGCTAAGAGCCACAGCCAAGTAATATGATGCATGGCATTTTTGGTTGAAAGGTGATGCCAGCAAGCCATTGAGATTGACATAATTATGTTAAGATTTGCATTCATATGGATATTGGACTCCTGCTGTCCACCTCAGCCTGCTACGGGACTCCTGGAGAGTTCCCATTGGTTGGGGAAGTGCGGTAGGAGGGAATTCCGGAGGAGGAACTTCCTGCGGGGATCCGGAGAATGCCACGTGTGTCCGTCAGCAATCTTCCCGGGAGCGTAGGGGACATTGGCGGCAGTTTCAAAAATAAAGTTTGTTCCTGCTTGAGTGGCTCGTGATTTTGTGCCCAGCCAGACTGCGGCAAAATTAGAATAAAAATATTAAGAATAAATCTATATGATTAATCTACCCCCCTTTTGGGTTTATATTCATTGGAAATGAAACCAGCGTACCAAATACCTGCATGCCCATATCTATTGTATCACTATTCACAATGGCTAAGGTATTGAATTAATAGCTAGGAAGTACAAAATACCCCAAATAGCAAAAGGAATCTTGAGGAAAAAGAACAAATCTAGAGGTATATACTACCCAAGCTCAAATTATATTATGGCATAAAACCAAATTGGGGCTGGGGTTGTGGCTCAGCGGTAGAGCACATGCCTAGCACATGCAAGGCCCTGGGTTCAATCCTCAGCACCACATAAAAATAAATAATAAATAAAAATAAAGGTACTACGTCCAACTACAACTAATATATATATATATATAAATTTAAGAAAAAACAGACAACCAATGGAGCAGAACAGAGAGCCCAGAAAGAAATTCACATATATGCTCATCTAGTCTTCAACAAGCATACTACAGGGCTAGTTCCTTCAGCAATACTGAAAAACCGGATACCCATATGCAACACAAGGAAAGTGGACTCTTATCTCATCCCATCACAAAAATCAACTCCAAATGGACAGAACACTTAAATGCAAGACCTGAGACCACAGAATTCCCAGGAGAAAATGGGAAAGCTACTTAGACGTTAGTGTTGGCTAATTTTTTTTTTTTTTTACATTGAAGATACAGGCAACTATAACAAAAGTAAGTGGGGTCATATTAAACTAAGGGTTTCTGTAAATAAAAGGAGACAATAAATAAAATAAAAGGCAACATATGGAGTGGGAAAACTATTTGCAAACCCTATATCCATTAAGGGGTTTATAGTTAAAATATACCAGGAACTCATCCAACTCCAAAGGATCTGAATAGACATTTTTCTAAGAAGACAGAGATGGTCAACAGGTATATAGAAAGATGCTCAACATCTTCAGTTGATTTGGTTTAAATATGAGGTGTTCCTCAGAAGCTCACATGTAAGACAATGCAAGAAAGTTCAGAGGTGAAATAATTGGGTAATGAGAACTCTAATCTAATCAGTGCATTAATCTACTTGAATGAATTAACTGGGTGGTATCTGTAGGCAGGTAGGGTGTAACTGGGGGAGGTAGGTAATGGGGAAGGGGGCCATGCATTCGGGGTTTGGATTTTGTACCTGGCAAGTGAAGTTCTTTCTCTACTTCCTTGTTCTCATGTCCTGAGCTGCTCTCCTCTCCCCTGGCTCTTCTGTCTCATCTTGGGCCCAGAGCTATGGAGTTGGCTATCTATGAACCGAGACCTCTGAAATCATGATCTCCAAATAAACTTATTCTCCACTATATTGTTCTCGTCAGGTCTTTTAGTCACAGTGGTGAAAAAAGGTGACAAAAACACCAGTCATCCAGGAAATATAAATCAAAACCACAATGAAATACCAACTCACACCTGTTAGGATGGGTATTATTAAAAAGTAGAAGATAACAAATTGTTAAAGTAGAAGATAACAAGATGTTGGGAAAAGAGAAATCTTGTACATAGTTGGTGGGAAGGTATTGGTGCACCTGTTGAGGAAAGCAGTATGGAGGTTCCTCAAAAATTAAAGGTGGAACTATGATATGATCTAACAATCTCACTTCTGGGTATATCCCAAGCAACTAAAATCACTGTTTTGAAGAGAGATCTGCATCCCATGTACCTTAAAGTCAAGAGGTGGAAACAGTCTAAGTGTCCACTGACAGATCAATGGATAAATTAAATACAATAGATAATGAAATATTCATCCATAAAAAGAAGAAAAATCTATTCATCTGGGACAATTTGGATGAACCCAGAGGATGTTATGATGAGTGAAAGAATCAAGACACAGCCAAAATACTGCATGATTTCATGTATGTGGAATTAAAAAACAAAATCCCAATCTGGCAGGGATTAGAGTGGTGTTTTCCAGGACAGGGTGGCTGGCGGGTGGTGGAAGGAAAGGGGAGGTGTTTGTCTCCTTTGCCCCCTCTGGCCCCTCCACTTCTGCCTTGACCACCATGACAGTTCTTAGTCCAATGGGTTATTTTCCTTTAAAACTTTTTTTTAATTATTAGTGCATATTAATTGTTTTAAATAGTTTTTTTTTTTTTTGGTCACTGTGACCAAAATACCTGACAAGAACAACTTAGAGGAGGAAAAGCTTATGTGGGGCTCATGGTTTCGGAGGTCTCAGTCCACAGATGGCCAACTCCATTGCTCTGGGCCCGCGGGGGAAGGGCCCAGTGGAGGAGGAGAGCTGCTCAGTTCAAGGTGAGATCAGGAAGCAAAGAGAAAAGTTGGAGGGGTTTGTACTTTTCCAGGGCACATCCCCAGTGACCCACCTCCTCCAGCCATGTCCCATGTGCCTACAGTTACCATCTCATCAGTCCATCCAAATCAGGATAGAATGATCAGGTTACAGCTTTCACAATCCAATAATTTCACCTCTGGACATTCCTGTATTTACAGGAGATTTTGGGAGACACCTCATATCCAAACCATAACATTATTGTACAAAATAATGGAATTCATTTTCATAATTTCATACGTGCATATAACATACTATTAGATGATTTCCATTTCCCTCTTTTTCCCTCCTCCTACAGAGCCCCTTCCCCTTCCTTTAGGAAT